TAATAATACCCCTATATATATATATTTTTTTCAATTAAATCATTACTTTTATTGAATGAAAATAATTTTTTTATTATTTCGGGTCGGGTCGGTTTCTATGTTATATATTCGGGTCGGGTCGGTGAAACCTTGTTTTGGTCGGGTCGGGTCTTGGGTGGAGACTCTCTTGTTCTCGGGTCGGGTCGGGTGGACCAAAAATCCGATCCATGCCCATCCCTATTTATGATTGAGTAGAAATACTTATAGTTAAATATATAGTAACTTTGATTATCCCTAGAAATAGATTTGGCTGATTTACTATACCTTCGATAGCATTAGATTTGCTAAGTAGCATAGTGTGTGTTGAAAAGCATGCAACTAATTGATTGGTGTTGTTAATATTTTAAGCCTTTAATTAATGAAAGTAGTTAAAGAAGTTCAAAAGGTCTTAATCAATACTGATCGTATAAATTAGGTATGCTCTGTGTGCATAAGATTTGATGCTCACAATATTTTCTCCACCGATTTGATAGCTGACTTAATGCATTCTAGATTGCTGTAACATGAACTGGTGTTTTTCTTACTGATTTTATTATCTTTTATTTAGCATTTCTTTAAACTCGATACCCTTATTGCTTACAAACTCTAATGATAACAACTTGCTCCTTGTGAGTTCGACATCCGTAGCATTCATTTGCTACCACTTTATTACTTGAACGATACATGTGTTAAATGCTATAGCATCTTATGTAGCATCAGGCCGATGACTATAGTTGAGCGGGTCGGTTATGGTTTGATGATATAGAAGGAAGGATGTTTAGCATGAACACATCTATTTCTAACAGGTCGAGAATCTTTGAAGTATCCATGGAAGAAGTTAACAACCTAGAGATCTTAACACCAAGTGAATTGGGGCCCCCGACCCAAAATGTTCAAGCATGGATCTTTACATCGTGGACTCTTAACATGTTTTTTTACAATACTCTTAACATGTTGGTTGCGAAGAATTGGGACCTAGAATGGGAAGTAGCCTTTCCATCAAGCGTTCGAATAAGATAAAGAGAAAAAAAATACAAGAAAGGGCATCGTAAGAGGGGATAGGAGAATCATAAGACTGAAGAATATAAGGCAATGACATGATGGGCCTAGCAGTGTTGTAACAGTACCGAGTCTACTGATCTGATATAAGAGTATAACAGAGACTGTAGCCACCTTCGAAGTTAGGTCAAGATTAGGAGTTAATTTCAACGATCTAATTAGTGAGGTAATTAGGAGATACGAGGAGCTTGAAGCCGATGACAAGCTTTGATCTTTCTGGTATGTTCGTTGTCTTTGCTGGTGTGTTAATTCTTTATTATTTTTTTTATGAATTTTATATCGTCTCTTGAATTGTTAGAGGTTTGGGTAAGAGGAAAAAGTTGAGAGCTATTAGTCGGTTCATCTCATCAAGAAAAAGTGGTATTCCTACAAGAATTGAAGTTGTCAATTGTGAAACCATTGACATTGAATCGCCTAAGAGTTAGTAGATTTCGTGAATTTGTATTCGTTAATACGAAAGGGGCTTTGGGTGGTTTAATTTCAATTTGTGACACAAATTTCTTTTTGTGGAAAAAAAGCACACGCAGAGAAGATTTATGGTTCTTGAGGGTTGCCTTTCACAGTTTAATTTGAATGTGGATTAATTAATGTGTTAGTTGATATATTGAGGATCTTCAACAAGTGTCTCGACAAGTTTTGCAAGTTTAACAAGTCCATCAGCTTTAACGAAATTAATTATAGCGCTAAGGATTTGATCACCGTCTCCATAAACACCAATATGAAGCCTCCAAAAAAAGAACCACCGGGAAATGAAAATGACAGCAATGACTTGAAAAAATTCTAATGATTTGAGGCATATACTTCTCCATTAGAAGAAGCCTAAACTTGGAAGGATCATTAAACTCAACCAGCACCTTCACATGTGGAAACATCCATGAATGAATCCCTCTAAACTTTTCCCAAACATGAACAATTAGAAACATGAAATTCCTAACCGATAATCTCTTATATGCAACTCTCATAAGCTGTAATTTATATCCATTGTCAGCAACATACGATGCACACAACATCCAAGAATTTAATCTTAGATAACGATATGAAAATTGAATTCAAAGTGATGGTTTCCACACTTACTGCCATTGACAAGATTTTGGAAGCTCCTTACACGTAGGTTCCCCATCTCATTTGATAACTGCTCTTGTAATTTAATAGTCTGATCTTCAATCGGAATTTCTGTTGTTTCCACAGGTTTAGATGAACCTATGGTTCCCATTATATCACTTGGAAAATCAATTTTCTTACTGCTTCGATTTGTTTGGTCTTCAACGCCATATTTCTTTGGTGTTGGCAAATCGTCGAACACGTAGTGAGCATTTGTGCTTAAGTCATTTTGCTTAGGCTCAGCTTTCTCCGATCCATCGATTTCAGGGTGTTCATTGAACGTCAGCCCCAACTGCATTGAGATTGCAGTTATTTGACGCATTACATCCTGAAGCATTTGATGGGTCTTTTCATTTACTTGCTTCTGCTCCTCAGCATGAGCTTCAGGAGAACCCAATAGTTGTTCGTGGCGAGCGACAGTCTCCTGCAGGCTTTTAATGGCCTCTGTTTCATTCATCATAGCTCAATCTCTCAATGAAAGCACCAATGTTGTGGGTCAAGTAATTAATACCTTGGACTCAAAATACTCAACTGAATTTCATTGATAAGCAAGGAAATTACAGCAGAATAGAGAAGGAAAGATAAGAAGAGAAATATGAGAGAATTAGTAAGGAAGAGAGGATAACAGATTTATATTAACTTTTTCACGCTTTCCTTCTATCTTCTATTGCCTTTAATAGCCAGCTAATGTAACCACCAAACGAATCGATTTTGGAATGCCCTTTCTTACGTGTATTCTTCTTCACCATTTGCTGACTTGGCAATGATTGATGTGTGTGCTGAGTTGGCATGGACTACTCTTGGGTCATAACAGAGAGGAAGAAGCAAACAGACGCTGGAAGTAAGATAGTGTTGGCATCTCTTTGTGCGAGCCAATTGACTCATGAACACTGTTGCCAATATTGTTCATCACGCGATAAGAGAAAGTGAATTTCATCCTTCAAGTGCACAAATTCAAGAAGTTCAACAGAAGGCAACGGTCATTTCAAATTTTTTGAAACTAATATTAGATCATGTTTGCATATTTAATTAATATTTTCATCAAAATTATTAGCAATAACCCAAATTTTAATAGTAAAAAATTAATAATTTATTTGATAAAATTAAAAATTCAGTTAGCTATAACATATTAAATGAAATTGTTCACAAAATCAATGTTTTAGAAGATAAATAAATAAAATTTATATTCTTCTGGGTTCAATAAAATAAAGTATATGAGATGTCACTAAATTATATAAAAATTATTTTTTTAGTAATCGTTAAATATTATAAAATAATCATTAGATGTGATACTTAAGTCCTAGTAGTCTCTATTTCTCAAAAATTTCAAGGATTAATACAAAAATAAATAACTAAAGAATGCATCGAAAAACGTTTTAGTGCATAAAGAAATTTTCATTAAAATTATGTGTCTAAAGTTTTTTCCGTTACATTTTTAGGTGTATACCATTAAAAAAATTCGTTAAGTGACACGTGTCATGTCTAGATTTAAAAAAAATAAATATTTTTTTTAAAATTTGAACGTAACACGTGTCACTTAACGAGTTTTTTTAACGGTAATCACCTAAAAGTATAACGGAGAAAACTTTAGGCATTTATTTTAACGAAAAGTTCTTTAGACACCAAAAATTAATTTTGATTATAGTTTAGGTACTGATTTTTATATTAAGCTAAATCTTAAAGCTCTCTATTTCTTTCTTTATTCTTGGTTGATAGGCGGTGATATCAACCTGTGTTTTTTTCTTCTTCTTTTAATTTCTTATATCAAAATTTTGTCTTTATTTTATTTCTTTAGTTTTTAATAACTCTGCTTTTATATTATGTTTTTCTTTATTTTTATGGATTTTTTTCTACTTTTACGATACGTTTTTTATCGTTTGATTGTTGCTTTACCTTATCTTTTTTGTAAGAGTTGAATTTTGCATCGTCACAATTGATTAAGATGACATTTATTTATTATAATGTTAATCTTTTATGTTTTGAACCTTTGGATTGGATTTAAATATGCTATTTGTGTTCGTGGATGGTTTTTCACGTTGCTAGACTCTTATTTACAGTTTATCAATGATCTTTCAGTAGTTTAATCCCTCTTTTTAGTTCGTTTGTTGATGTAGTCAGATCTGTTTACATCTATCTTTTGTTACAATTTTTGTTAGATTTTTAACTTTTTCCTTCTATGGTTATTGTGTGGTCTTAAGTGACTAGTTTCTGTGTCAATGATTATATAAAAATGTCTTAATTATTATGTGTTTAATTTACATATATTGTTGTAAACATTCATTGTAATTATGAATATTTCATTTTAATAAAATTAGCAGCTTCTATAAAAAAAATAAAATAATCATTAAAATTTATCTAACTATTATAAAATAGTCTTTAAACTTATCAAATTTATTACTATTTTAATGTTGTTGGGGATCATTTTGTAACCTTTGTGAAGTTTAATGACCATTTCCTAACATTTAAAAGATTATTAACCAAAAAGATAATTTTTATATAATTTGATGACCTTCGGTGTACTATATCCAAAAGAATACTTATAATTAGTTGTAAAATTTTGATAAATTTAACGATTATCTTGTAATATTTGATATCATTTAATAATTAATCAATAATAATTTCATAAATTTGATGACTGTTTTATAATTTAAATGTAATTTGTGAAATTTAAATGTAATAACTATTGTGAAAGTTAAATGAGTAAATATAACTTGACAAAGAAAATAATGGGAAATATAAAATGGAGTTAAGGGCATTACAGTAATATAGTAAATCGGTTTGAGAATAATAATTAAATTCGAAAAATCGAAGTTTCTGAGTTTGCCCTAGCGTTTCACAATTTCCCTGTAAGTTGGCGTGTATAAAGCTGCGTCCTTTTTTCTTTTTTCTCCACCACCAGATCCCTACATTATCTTCTCCAATTGCCTATCTTTCGATTCATTCCCTTTTCTTCATCTCATCGAAGGTATTTCGTATCCGAATTTATTTCTCTTATTAATCTATTCTCTTTAATTCGTTATTTTTTATGTACTTTGTTTAAATCTTCATGTCATCGTCCGGTACCTAGATTTATGTTTTCTTTTGTTGAATCGATGAATATCTGTTTATATTTTTTTCTATTTTACGAGTTTATTTTTGTTATTGGATTGATTATCTGATCGATGTAATTTGTTTCTGGCCCGAGGGATTATATTTTGAATATTTGTTTTCATAGACGATTGATGATTTCTTCCGTGTTTAGATGATTGCAATGCGGATATTGAATCATATTTTGTTTCTTTTGTTGTATTTAGTTTTATATTATTTAACGTTGAATGGATGCTTAGACTTTATAATACCCATTTTTAGTAGTTAATAATTTTTTTTATTTAATTCACATTATAAGAATTCTAAATGATTGTCTTATGTATGGTTAGGATGTTTTGGAATTGAGATTTTAACTTTTCTATTTGATCTGTCCAATTTAATCTATTTAAAATTGCCTTTAGTTTAAAGATTTTTTCACGCTTTAACTACCTGGTTGCTATGGAGGATACTACGAATTAAGAATTTAATCTATGGATTTGTATTATCTTATCTAGATTAATGTTGGAATCTGTAGGCTTTAAGAAATGAATATTTGTTAATTCTGATACTTCATTGGCATTTGATATTTGACATCTGTTTAATTTGTATATTGTATTTTCCTGATGTTGATGAATTTCTGCCGGTTGTTGTTGATATACTATTATTCAACCTTTGCCTAGATTGATTCTGGTATTCTTTCAGGAAGTTGGCAGCTGAATCTGCTGTGTCTGCTGCTTGTCAAAGTGGATAGCATTACGTTTGAATCTTCTTTTATGTCTGAACGGGCATCTCTCATTTTTTCATTAGTTGGATTGCTCGGAGAGTACTGTCCCTCTTCTATAAAAAGGAATATAAGCTCCTCTTCTGAAGTTATCTGTATGCATATTGAGGCCGATAACACACACAGTCCCGGTTGCCAATTTATGCAACCTATTTCAAGTGCAAAGGGGGTGTCTGATAAAAAAAATTGTGTCACAATTGAAAACACCAGTATCTGATATTTCCTTTCTGATTAACACTCTTCTACTATTTGATCAAGATGGCTTTGCAGAATATCGGTGCTTCGAACAGTGATGATGCCTTTTATAGGTATAAGATGCCCAAAATGATTACTAAGATTGAAGGGAGGGGAAATGGCATCAAGACTAATGTAGTTAATATGGTTGAGATTGCAAAGGCTTTGGCTAGACCTGCTTCTTACACTACAAAGTATTTTGGTTGTGAACTGGGAGCCCAATCTAAGTTTGATGAGAAGACTGGAACATCACATGTCAATGGCGCTCATGACACTGCCAAGCTTGCAGGGCTTCTTGAGAACTTCATTAAGAAGTATGTTCAATGCTATGGTTGTGGGAACCCTGAAACTGAGATAATCATTACCAAGACACAGATGATTAACCTGAAATGTGCTGCATGTGGGTTTATTTCTGATGTTGACATGCGAGATAAACTTACAACTTTCATTCTCAAAAATCCACCGGAGGCAAAAAAGTCATCGAAAGACAAGAAAGCAATGAGGAGGGCTGAAAAGGAAAGACTCAAGGAGGGTGAGGCTGCTGATGAAGAGCTGAAGAAGATTAAAAAAGAGTCTAAAAAGAAGGGATCCTCTACTACTACTTTGAAGGCTGCTGCTCCCAAAAGTGCAGTAACAAAGAAGAAAGGTAAGAATTCTGATGAGGATAACTCCCCTGAACAAAGCCAGGCTGATGAGAATGTGGCAGCTAGCGATGACGACGATGATGTCCAGTGGCAAACAGATACCTCACTGGAGGCTGCTAAGCAACGGATTCAGGAGCAGTTGAGTGCTGTTACTGCAGACATGGTGATGCTAACTACCAGTGAAGAGAAGAAAAAGTCGGTGCAGAAGTCTCCAGAGCATGATGTTAACGCTACTGAAAAAGTTGTCAGTGCCCATGAGAAACTTGTTAATGAGATAAAGGAACATCTCATGCAGGGGTCTTCTCCTACTCAGCTTAAATCCTTCCTAGGCTCGCTCTCTGGAGCCTCGTCCGAAGAAATCATGGATGCCCTTTTTACTGCACTCTTTGATGATGTCGGGAAGGGGTTTGCGAAGGAAGTAACTAAAAAGAAGAACTACCTCGCAGCAGCAGCAGCTGCCACCAAAGAAGAGGGATGGCAGATGATGCTCCTTCATTCTATCGAGTCGTTTTGCGGCAATGCTAGCCCTGATGCAGCAAAGGAGGTGGCTTTAGTTATTAAGGTGTTGTATGATGATGACATCTTGGAAGAAGAGTTCATCATGGAATGGTACCAGAAAGGTATGGACGGTGGTAACAAGAGTTCTCAGATATGGAAGAATGTGAAACCCTTCATCGAGTGGCTCCAGAATGCCGAGTCTGAGTCAGAGGACGAGTGATCTTGATATAGTTGCTTTCTGATTTTATTTCTAGTATGTTTCTCTTTTGGTCTTGTTGGTACTAATAAAGTACAGCGAGCGAGGTCCTACATGCTCTCTGTTTTTTGAGTCTGGTTTTCTTCAGTTGCTTGTTCTTAAAGACCGCACTTCCGTCTGCTTTTATATTTGAATCGAGTTTGCTGTTTTGTTTTGTGTGTTTATTCCATCTTAAAGGCCGTTCTTTTCCTTTGCTTTGCTTCTCCCGCTTCAATCTCTCTTAGTTTTAGGTTATAACTTACTATATTATTATTAACTGTTGAATTTGATAATTAATTTAATAAATGTAATTTTACAAGTGTTCTTAAAAATTAAAATGATGATAAATGTCTTGTTTATCTGTTGTAAATTTTAATAAATATTATAAATACAGTTATTATTTTGAGTGTGATTGTAGTATTATTATTTTTCTTTACACATGCATCAAACAATAATCTTTAACACTAAGTTTAATTCAAACTCATTCCAATCCCTTAATTAGAGGTGGCAAACGAGTCATTCGGATCGGATTTGGATCGGGTCATTTCAAGTCGGGTTATTTCAAGTCTAGATTATATTCGATTTAATTTTGTTTGGACCGGATCTGATTCGGATCTAGTTTGTGTGTACGGTAAATTAGATAGGGTTGGGTATCGAGTCAGATGATTATCGGATTGGTTATTTTTTTATTCAGATAAATATCAGATCAATTGATTTTTTGGTCGAGTTAATATCAAATCAGTTGATTTTTTAGGTTGGGTTAATACCAGATCAGTTAGATTTCGGGTCGGGTCAATATCGGATCGGTTGATTTTTAGTTTAGGTCAACCTTTAGATTAGGGGTTGAATTGATTATGAGTCTAATCAAGTATATATATAGAATTATTGATATATTCTTGTAAAAAATATGTCTTCTTGTTTGGTAATTTATCATTTAAGCCTAATTTCAATTCTCAATCATTCAATATTTTGAATTAAACCATCATGATAAATCGATAATTTGACATAAATACGATCTTATAATGCACATTAAAATTTGTTATCAAAATTTTATATAGATCTTGTATGAAAAGTTTATAATGAGAATTGTTTGATAAAGAAATAATTTTTTTATTAAAAAATTTATTTCTAATTATAAATTTCATATTTTATTAAATTTTAAAAAATAATACATAACCTTATTTGTTAAGTTTTAGTTGTAACATAAATAAACTTTATATTATTTTTATTAGAAATCTAATATTATTTTTTTTGTTTTAGTTGTTTTCTATTATTTTTTATTATAAATCTAATATTTTTTTTATCACAAGTAAGATAAGTAAAGTTTTTTTATTATTGTTTTCAATCTTACAATTAGATTTTTACTTTTATATTCTTCTTATGTAATAAGTAAACTTTCTATTATTTTTATTATAAATATAATATTTTTAATAAATTATCAATTTTATTTAAATTAATTTATTATTAGGTTTCATATTAATTTTTGTTCGGGTTGCTTTCAGTATTGTTAAATTTGGTTCGGGTTAAAATTAGGTTCGAGTTTCTTTCGGTTCGAGTTGCTTTCTGTTCAAGTTAATTTCAGTTCGGGTTACTTTTGGTTCGGATTAATTTCGGGTCGGGTTGCTTTCGATTTCGCTAAATTTTGGATTGGGTATGGTTCGGATCGGGTATGAGTAGGGTATCAGATCAAATTTGATTATCATGTCGGGTTTATTGGGTTGGATAAATCAATTCAAATAATCGAGTTCGAGTCAAATTTGCCAGGTCTACCCGTAATGGCCCCAACCATGAACTCTTATAATAACTTTAATATAACATGAACTTTCATATATACTACATTTTGTTACATATATTATGATGTGCATGAAGAAGATATATATATATATATATATATATATATATATATATATATATATATATATATATATATATATATATATATATATATATATATATATTTAGCAAAGGGTATATGTGTTTGTGATAAATAATTTATATATGAATCTTTTAAAATCGAGTTTGATATTTAATTATATGAGTTTTTAGTTTTTTTGTCTAAAGATTTATTATATAAAGTATAAAAAGATAAAAATATTTATTTTTTTAAAGGTATGTATGCGTGAAATAAAACAAGACGCCTGTATAAAAACAATTTTGGATGGCGTAAAATCAAGAATTGATTTTATAAGAGAGTACAAATAATGAGGTCCAAAACAAAATTAATCTAAAATAAGAACAAACGGTGGAATTCCCCCTATAAACTTGTTGGAATAAAGATGCAATAATTATGGAAAAAAGTAGAACATTTTAAGAGAAGCAAAGACTTACAACTAGGATGTGCATGAGACCCGAACTCGACGGGTTTCAATCTGATTGGGTTATTTTTTTTTTTAATTTTGGGTTTAGGTCGGGTCAGATTTTTTAAGATGATGTTTGGGTCGAGTTAGATTTGGGTTTAGGATGAAAAATACCCGATCCGACCCGACATGAAAAATATATAATTTTACCTTATATATTTAGGAATAATTACAATAATACCCATATATATATATTTTTCCAATTAAATCATTATTTTTATTGAATAAAAATAATATTTTTTAGTATTTTGAGTCGGATCAGGTCGGGTTTAGATTTTACCTCAAAAAATCGGGTCGAGTTCAGATCGGGTGGAGGATATATATTTTTCGAGTTGTATCGGGTCGGGTGAAGGATGTCAAGTTTTCAGGTCGGATTGGTGAAACCCGACCCATTGCCATCCCTACTTACAACTATCTCCAAAAGTGTTCCTTGCCATACCTATGGTTGTAAAAATAGTTAGATTTCTTTCATGACAACCATGGAATCTAGCCAATATTTTATGAATTGAGATATTTAAAAACAAAAATATTTAATTTTAGTCTAGAATGTTTAGATAATCATATATAAATATATTATAATAATTGCAAACAATTCTGTTATAGTATCTATTAATTATTTTCTAAAATTATATTTTAATTGATATTCCAATTTTTTATAACAAATATAATTACCAATAACATAATATCAAAAAAATACCCTTAACATTTGATTAAATAATCACTTTGACTCATTCTTTTTTAAAACATTTTTGACCTCTAATATTTCGTTTTGGAGCAAAAAAAGTCATTCCACGAATGGAACCCGTTAGTCAACAAATAATTAACACTTCAAAATAGGGACCGTTTTGTCTTAAAATGAAATGATGGAGGCCAGAATGCTTCAAATAAAAAAATATACGTTAAAGTGACTAATTAGTCAAATGTTATGACTTATGAGTTTTTTTGTCCTAAATTAAAATATTAAGAGTTAAAATGTTAAAAAAATAGAACTTGAAGTGACTATTTAATCAAATGTTAGAGATATTCTTTAACATTATACCTTACAGAAGTTATATATTTAACAACAAATGTTAGATGCAACGACAAATTACTTCAAGAAAAAAAATTATATTTGAACCTTAAAAAATATATGTAATTAAAAAAAATTCAAGAACTCTAAACATAAACACAAAAATAAACTAATTAATTATTAGTTTATTTTTTATTCTCATTCATATGCTACATGTCTAATTTTCTTAGCATATTCTTTAGAGTTTTATTTTTAATATTTTAATTTGTCCGTATTTGTTTTATATTACATAAAAATTAATTAAACTATCAATTTCTTAAAATAATATTATCTTTGAATTTAAAAGGAATTAAATGTGATCTTTATATCATATCATATCATATCATTATTTTATGTGAATTATTAAGTTACTAATATAGATTATCACATCAATATCTTTAATGACTTTATCAATATACTATCGATCAATACTTGTTAAAAGATTATACCGATACAATTGACACATTCAAAAATTAAAATAAATATTTTTTATTTACGGTAAAACTAAATTAATTATTTGCTACAAACTTAAAATACCTCTTTAGCAAAAGGAAAAAGAGTAAATTATATATTTAGTACATAAACTATTAGTTTTGATCAATTTTAGTATTTAAACTTTTAATTTTTTCATAATCATACCTGACGTTTATTTTTTATTTTATTTTAGTACGCCGCCATTAAAAACTTAATGAGTTTAATATCTAAACTACGCATTTTGGTTCGTTTTAGTACTTAAACTTTTAATTTTTTGAAAAATTTAAAGTTAAATATTTAATGGGTACTAAAAGAAAACAAAAATTAAACGTTAGACATGGTTTTGGGAAAAATTAAAAAATTAGGTACTAAAATGAATAAAAAGTAATAGTTTAGCTACTAAAGGCGTGATTTAAACCAATAAAAAACATGTAAAAACAAATACCGAAGTTTCAAAATATAAAATTGAAAGGATAAACAGAAGTAGTAGTTAGGTTGAATCTCTGTGATTCTCCTGTATATAAGCATCCATATGGCCAGTCTAAATTTATATTTAATTTTAAGGTAAGTCACTGTACCAATTCATTTTCAGTCTAAATTTATATTTAATTTTTTTGAGTATTATGTTTCTGCATTTTTAATCCCAGGGGACTTGAAATGGATTCCTCAACTCTTCACGAGGAGATCGAGTCGTTCTTTGAGTCAGCTCCGCCGCTCAAAGACTCCGCTAAAATCACCGATAAATTGAATCAATTCATCCAATTTGATTCTCCATCTTCAGGTACAGAACCTTATTGCTAATCAATTACGTATGCGTATTTCCCTACCGTTTGTTTGTACTTATTTGTATACTATTCTGTAATTCTCAGAAGGAAAATGAAGGAAGGTTATGTGCGTGACATCAGGCGGAACTACGGTTCCTCTAGAGCAGCGGTGTATATTGATAACTCACGTCATAACCATTTTTTTTAAAACCAATTAAATATTATTTTAAAAACAATTATGATTTTATTTTGAAAATTTGATGTTTTAAATTAATTTGGATTAAATTGAATAGGAGTCGCCATCGACCTTTAAGTTAGGTAGGTCGAATACCTAAAAACGTCTTTTAAAATAATTTTAAGAAAAATCGTTTTTAGACAAAAACTGGTATGCGTTTACCAAAAATCCAACTTAACGGAGGTTACGCGTGGGGAAGGATAAACACCCCCACAACGCCCAAAATTAGTACTTAGTCGCTTACATATTGTCGTAATGATGAAAACCATAAATCGAATATAAAGTTAAATTATGATCCAT